TTAATAGGTTTGTTAAAGCTATCATTCGCGCCATTAAATGATAGACTTTAAGAGGAGAACATATGCAATGGAACAAAAATAAAAACCTCTTTAACAACCTTCGGGGAAAAACATAATATCCTTGCACTCACACCACACAACAGGATAACATGGGTTTGAAAATTAGTCAAACCTAACACAAAAACTCTCTCACCAAGGCTACATTCCCAACAACAACTGACAGGTCCAATACACACCCTGTCATGAATAGTCCATCCTCCACTTCAAGGGACCATTCAAACAACAATATGAACCAACCACATTGCTGGATGCGGTAAAGCAGCAAGTAAAAAGTAAGTTATTAATTTACCGGGTGATATTTAGGTTATATCGTATCGTGTCCACAAAGATTGGTGTATTGAAATGTTGTTCGATAAATCTCTTGTTAATGAGTTTACGGCTAAATGGGTTGAAAGGAAAGATATCAACAGAAAATAAATGTATAAAAAGGAAAGACAAACTTATTCGGATCGAATGTACTATACTTGTCACAAATTTAAAACTATCGACCAGTTATACTCAACCTACAATATTCATCAATGTCATGACATATCAAACACAACACCCATTGTATCACCTCGGTGGCGATCTCTCAACCAACCTTAACAACACAGAATTCAACCTTGCTAGCTTGCATTGACAATCTCTCAGAGAAACACAAACAACACAGAGGCATTAATCACAAACACCGTAAGTGAATGTCAGCTCTAAATATATCTGTAGAATTGAGAAACTAATAGATAATCATCCTAGATAAGAATCCAAGAAGTATATGACTATAGCAACTCAAATCTCTAGCACAGAGCAAAAAACAAGGATAACAATCGACAAAGATTTGTAAAGAAAGTTTTATATAATGCCAAGGCTGACAAATATACATGAGTTCAAAGAAAATACACATACAAACCCAACCAATAGAGAATACACAAAGAAAAAGAGAAATGAACCACATATCTACTAGTTTGTCAGCACTGGTCGAAGAGCAATCCTTCCTAGATCATCTGTATGCAAGCTCCATATTTGTTATCTAAGTTAATCCTAACAAAATTAAAGGTTGATGGAGTTGGGAACAAAAACTTTCCCAAAACCATAACCTAACAAATGAATGAAATGAAGTTATAAAACAAATCTCAGCAGACCTCGCTTAGCGTTCTTAGCACGCTAAGCAGGTTGTACGATATTTACACACTAAACCGCGCTAAGCGCGATATCCGCACTAAATGGGCTTCAAAAGAATGCTTATGCTAAAATGTCAAAATGCAAACAGCACGCTACAAAATGCACTGAGCGCACTCGCGCTTAGCGGCCTTCTACGCGCTAAGCGAGATTTCCTAGGCAGAATTGGTATTTTATTTCGAAAACGCACATCCGTAGCCGTGCCTTTGACACCTTATTCTTCAATGCTCCAAAATGCAACAAATGTCTACAAAATGAATGGAAAAACATCAAACGGTACACTATGTACACAAAAACACAAATAAACACAAACTAAATATATTTACACAAAAGTCGTGTTTATTCAACGATATTAACAACAAAGAGTCGATAAGTGCAACAAAAAGTATATACAAAAATAACTACAATTTGCACTTATCACATGGGCGACTAATATACATGAGTTCAAAGTAAAAATACATACAAAACCCAACAAAAGAGAAATACATAGAGAGGAGAATAAATCATAAATCTTCCGGTTTATCAGCATCGATCGATGAGAAATCCACCTCCAATCATCCATAAGCAAAGCCCTAGTATTGTTTTCTAAGTTAATCTATAAAAAATAAGGTTGGTGGAATTTGGGAACAAAAACACCCCAAAAACCATAACAAAAAATGAACTGAAAATGAAGTTATAAAACAAATCTCAGCAGACCGTGTTTATCGGGCTCACCGCGCTTAGTGGGCTGCACGATATTTACACATTAAACCGACCTAAATCGCGCTATCCGCGCTTAGCGGGCTCCAAAACTAAGCTTCTGCAATAATGTCAAAACGCAAGCAGCGCGCTATAAAATGCGCTGAGCACACTCGCGTTTAGCAGCCTTTTGTGCGCTAACAGGGCTCTCCTGGGCAAAACTTCTCAAAACTGGTCTTTTATTCCAAAAACGCGCATCCGGAGCCGTGTCTTCGGCACCTTATTCCTCGGTGCTCCAAAATGCATAAAATACCTACAAGTTGAATGGAAAAATATCAAACAGTACACAAAAACACAAATAAACACAAACTAAACGTATTTACATAAAAGTAGGATTTATTCAACCGATATTAACAACAAAGAGTCAATAAGTGCAACAAAAAATATATACAAAAATAGATACAATTTGCAGTTATCAAACTCTCCCCAACATGAACTTGTTTGTCCTCAAACAAGGCCAAACAACTCTAAGAACCAAAAGTAATCAACCAAAGTATCATGAATCAACAAGTTTGAGAATGTAAAACAAATATATGGTTCAAACAAAAACACACACGCAAGATAAATACTTACCACAATCCTACAACGACAACATGTAAACAAAATGAATCTTAAGTACAAAATCATACTAAACATTCTAAAACAAAACAAGCTCAATCATGAATCACACCTGCTAAAAATGTCTTGATCATGTTCATGCTTTAATACAATCAACACAAACAAAAGATTAAACATAATAAAATCCAGTTAAAACAAGAATTGTGGCCTCCAACATATGTGAATAATGGAAAGCTTCCTCAATTTATGGGTAAAAAGGGAACTAAAGTGATTCAAGTCATGAGCAAGTAGTGTAAAAAGAATGAATGACATGGTAATTGTATAAATGAAAATGTTTCTAAATAGTTTATGGTATAGAAAGCGATAAACGAGTACCTGACGAGTACCAACTTCAAAAACTATAATTACCATACATCCGCAAGTTGACACACTCAAAATAGGAAAATCACCAAATGCGACTTCAAGCTATCTAACCAAAATTTGAGTCCAAACAACAAAAAAAAGAATTAAAAATATTATTATTAATTACTATACTATAAAGCCTTGGATGTAGTGGGAAAAAGGAGAGTCAAGCGAAAAATTAAAAAACATTGTGTTAGTATATCCCACGCAACCTTCACCGTCATCGACTCATCGATTTTCTCAAACATGTTCGCATAAACACACTGATTGATGTAGAACAACGCTTTCTGATCTTTCTTCCTCGTCTCTCTCTACGCGTTTCTTTGTTCCTCTATCGCATCCGCTGCAACTGAAACATAATCATTAGTAACAAGATCAAGAACATCTTGAGCACCAAACAACACACGCATTTGAATCATCTACCGATTCCAATTCTTTTCAACAAACACTGGAATCTTTGTATTCAAGCTACTACCTCCGCTCATATTTGTTCTTGTGCACTAAAACTAACTCATGTCTCACCAAACACTCGTGTTTCTCAATCCCGAAATCAATTACACACGCCTCACTAACACTCGTGTTTCCCTGTAAATCTAATCAGAACTCTATATACCAATTGTTGGTGCACAAAGGTTAAAGATGAAAATGAATATTAAAGAAGAAAGAAAAAAGACGACTACAACAAATTTGTTGAGAAAGAAACTCTATACATAATTGCATTAACTTTCTTATAAAAATCATAACCACAAACTTATTTAAATATACAGAATAAACTGTCATGTAGACCCTAAAAAAAAAAAATATATATATATATATATATATATATATATATATATATATATATATATATATATATATATATATATATATATATATATATATATATTAATTAAGTATGTTAAAAGATGGAATTTGACATTCCTATACAGAGTAGCTAAAGTAAGAGTTCGCATCTTAGTTCATAAGCAACCAAAATTAATAACTATGCCTTTTCTTAATATATCTTTTTCTTTTGACCTTCAAAAAATAATAATAACTATGGCCAACAGTTTTAATCGTTTCACACCAAAACTACTATATTTGTACATCTTTCTGTTCCTTTTATAATGAAAAGCGGTTTGGAGACAGTTTTAATTTTCTTTTATTTTCATATTGTTATTTTTTCAAGAATAATTTCAAAGTTATATTATTAGTACAACATCATAAGGTGTCTAATATCAACCATGTTCAAACAAATAAAAAAATTAATGTATCGATGTAAATTAACTTTATATTGTTAACTAAAAACACGTATCTTATTAAATTAAATTGAAATATTTAAATTATTTTGTATAATATAATAGAGTGATGTATTTTTATTAGATGATAATGTAGATTATTTTTACATTATCGTGAGTGTATCTCTATTAAATTTATTTGTTAAAAATATTATTTTTATTTTCATTTTTTTATAACAAATTAATTTTGTTATTATAAGTGGTAAAAGTATATTTCTTTTATATATTTTTTTAAAAAAAGTTGTATTAGATTGACCTCAATTTATAAAGTATTTTTTATATGTGTTTGTTTAAATATTTTTTAAAAACTAATTTTTTTAATTTTAGTTGGTGAACCAAGTTTAAATATAGATTTAATTATTTTAAATATTTTTTTATTTTTAATATATATTTAATTATAAATGATAGAGTCATACTTAAGACTATTTTTCAGATTGATCCATTTTAATTAAGTTGATGGATAGATTTCTTTCAAAGAATAATTATGTTGAATAAAGTTATCATACTTACTAGCAATTATTGAAAGTATATTTAAAGTAGCTTTTTTTCACAAGAACTAAAAGTAATTTCCTCCTTTTTTTTTTTAACAAAAAGAAATTCCAATAAAACCAAATTAATTTAAATGTTTTCTATGACTTTTTTTTCTTGAGAAAGGTGTAACAGCTTGAAACTTTTTTTTCTTTTTTTCTTCTGGAACGTGTAACAGCTTGAAACTTTGTCTCTCTCCTAAATTTCTAGTATTTATTCCTTCTCCCCTCCACTTCCTCTACCATCCATTGCATTACCTTACACACTCCTTCCTCCGACAACATGTATCAGCCACAAGAGCAGTTGTCTCCCATAAAATCATTCCTCTGCATCTTCATCTCCGTAATGAGCGCCATCGTAGTTTCCCTCGGCATCATTATGTTGATCGTATATTTAGTTTTCAAGCCGCGCAACCCTGAGTTCCAAGTAAACTCAGCCCAACTCACCTTCCTCACTCTCACCGGAAACTACCTCACCGCCAAATGGAACATCGACATCATCATTTCAAACCCTAACAAAAAACTCGACATCTCATATAACCCCGTTTCTGCCAGTGTATTCTACAGCAAAGATATAAACCAATTCGGGCCTATATCCAACATTCCTCTTAAACCTTTCTACCAACCGAAAAAGAGTAAAGCTGTTGTCCGATTCGAAACTCAGGTTACCAATTTGTTTGTCAGTAGCGGTGTTGCTAGCGGTATTGTAAATGGACAGTTTCATCATTCGTTGCAATTTGGGGTAGAGTTTAGGGCTTTTGTAATGCGTACAGGTTTGTTTCACCCGAAGAATAGTTGGTTCAAGGTTACATGTGCCCCGATAAACTTTGTAGTTGGTTCCACAGCGGCTATTTGGGATTTAGAGCGTCCTGTAAAATGTAAGATATGATGTAGTAAGGAAGTGTGGTAATGTTAGAGGCTTTTTGTGTTTCAAAGATAAAAAAAAGGTTAATAATATGAAAGAAAGAGTCATGAATTATGAACACAAATGTTTATTTGCTATATGGATTACTTACATTTTTTGGAAAATTCAAAATCAATTTTAGAATTATAAAATTGATTTGGTGTAATTTTAAAGTATTTAGTTTATCAAAGTAGAATTGATTCTACCTTTAAAATTGATTTAATTAAAGTTAGAATATGTAATTTTAACTCTCAAAATTGATTTTTAGTAATTTTTATATTAAAATTTATTGTTCAATTTACTTTTACATAATTTTATTTAATTATAAATCAATCTTACTAAATTTATTTATGCTATAATCAATTCAATCAATTTCAATTCTACTAATATCAATCATGTTTATCATGAATTCAAACACATTCTATAAGTGACACTCAAAACAAATGACACTAAGATATTGAATTGCGGAAAAAAATTATTATATTTTTAAAAACTATCCTTCAATTTTTTTGTAAATTTCACTTTTTTTTAAATATATAATTTTTGTTGAGTTAATAACCATATTTTGCATCTACTATACTACTTGCGGTCTTATTATAAGCAAAAGTTTTATAAATTTTTTAACCTTAAATATAATCAAATGTTAATTAATCTAACCTGATCAGAGTTGGACCGTCACAGCTGGCTTCAGACAGAACTTGAATGAGATGGAGGAGGTACCTGCAAGACACTCTGATGGTAAAGTGAGAAGCGGAATGAACAAGCAAGTATGAGTTTTAAGTGTGAATGAATGAATACCTGACCCTCTCGAAAGAGATGGTATTTATAGTCCCCAGCGCTGGGTTAAAGTCTCTTTATTGGGCTGATCAAACAGGCCCAACAAAGAGACTGCCAGGTTCTACGTGTATAGTGGGGACCCGCATGTGACCCCCTACCTGGATAACGTCCTCCGTAAGACAGGGAGGATAGAGACGCGGTCTTTCCGAGACCATGAAGACTATGCGAAATTCGGAGAGGTTGGGAGTCAGCCCTACGAGGAAGGTGCTCGGGGGGAGCGCGTGCTCGTCGAGGACGGTCTCCGCGAGCACCCCAAGTCGTTGCTCCTATTAAGGGAGTTATAACTTGATTCATTTTCGCCCCTTCGCGAGACTCGCTGCGCGACACAAGGTTTTTCTATCATGGACGTGAGACGTCGCCCGGTTCGTGATTTGCTTCGTGCAGCGGTCGAAGAGTGTTCGAGGAGTACTCGTGCGGAGAGGATGATACACTAGTCATACACGTGGCGTGACTATTGGAAACCACAATGGGGGCCTAGGGAGTAGGGACCATCATTGTCTACGCGAGTAGGTGTCGAGGATGAAGGCGGTTTGTGATTCCCCGACGCGGAGTTTCACATTCCACGTCATCTCTATAAATAGGGCTTCAGGGCCCATAATATGTTTTCACATTTTCACGCTCTCATATTTTCTCTACCGTCAACACCGCGCGTTTTCCTAGTGTCGCTGAGACCTCCGCACAGTCTGTCGTGTATTTATCTCCACAATCGTCGTTCCTCACTCTTCTTCCAAGTAAGTGTTCTTTTTCTTTGCTATCTTGTGTTGTTGATAGATTTTGATGGTGTTTAGTGGTAGAATTTTGTGTCTAGGGATTATGCCCAGGAAATTCAAGCGATTTAGGTGTCTGATTTATGATCATGCCTGCGGTGTTCATAGGTTTAGGCATACGATTTATGATCGTGCCCGTGATATTCATGCGTTTGGCTAATAGATTTATGAACTTGGTTGGGGAATTCATCCTTTCGATATTATGTAGGCTAGTTTTCCCCGTGGTATTCTTGTATCTGGTTAGCAATGTTATGAGCTTGGTTATGAAATTCATCCTTTTCTCGCGATATTCTTGCTGTTCCTGTGACATTTATGATTGATATACGTCCGCTGTTAAGGTCGTTGTTTGATCGAGGTCCACGTGTTCCCCGTCTTTCGTGCGAATGGTCGTTGACTCAGTCTGAGTGTTGCTTACTTCTCCCCGTCTGGGTGGCGGAAAAGTGGATTTGATGTCAAATTCACCGGTTTCCTGTACTTTGTAGGTAAATGATTGATATTCCAGAGTCCTCAGAGCATATTGATATCGAGGAAACAAACACTGTCGAGGAAAGCATGAATTTGGTCGACACCGTCGACGACCCTACTCTGGACTGGGTTGGTGTAGAACCATGGGGGATAGCTTCGATCTATAGCTACACCGGTAGGCAAGCTTACACTGTCGTCGAGTACGGCGGCGGCCAGGAGGGATTTCAGAGAAATTTTAAGATCATGAGGCCGACAAGGGATGTCCGCATTTGCTCAGAGTTTACACAGGACTCCTTCCCTATGTACGAGATCGTATTTATAGATCTCGGGCTCTGGCTACCTTTCAACGACTTCCAGATGGGAGTGTTCAATCACTTGAACTTGGCCCCCTCCCAGATTCATCCTAACGTGATTGCCTTTATCCGGGCATTTGAACTCACCTGCCGCTTCCTGAGGATCGGGCCAACGATTCCCCAGTTTTTTAGGGTTTTTCACCTGCAACGGCAGTCCCGAGGAGGGAAGCACAACTGGGTGTCCCTTAAGAAGTCGAAGAGGCTGTTTAGGATGTATATGGATTCTGCGCGAGATTTCAAGGATAAGTGGTATATTTTGCAACCGTCTACTCAGACAGCCGTGGATTTGCTGTTCGAACTGGATGCTGTGGTGGACGAGGACGGTGAGCCGTGTTTGGATTCTGAGGGTAATCCTGAGATTGGGAAAGTCTCAAAGTTTCCCATCCATTGGTGCTCGGGCCATTACGACCATGGACCTGGATACTACCACACTTCCGCTAACGGTATGAGAACTGAGGAAGAAGAGGCTTATGGCATCCTGAACAAATTTGTCGATGGTTTCTTCCCTGCTCGGTAGGTTACGAGGGAAGGGAACGACATTCTTGATGAGGATGGCGATCCGACGTTTGAGGCACATTCGATCAACACCAAGGCGCTCGTCGAATTCCAGTCTTACGGGCAGGCCGTAGAGCTCTTAGGTTTCTTGCTTTTACTCTATTGATAGCCCTCTTTATTTGTTTTCTTCGATGTGGCTAACCCAAGTACATTTCCTTTGCAAGTCACATGGCAGAACATCACGAGAGGTTGCTAAAGTTGACCCAAGACAAGAAGATCAGCAAGAGGTTGGTGAAGCCGCAACAAGCCACATGAATGGGTCTGTCCCCCGAGTCGGGCAAGGAATGATCTAGTGGGTCCTCGGGTTCCCATGACACCGAGTGTCAATCTTCTTTGATTAGCAAGAAACAGAGTCGACCAGGAGATGGAGTCGAAGTGACCGATGGAGGGGCGGGTGCCCGAGCCTTCAGCCTGCCACCCTGTTTTGTGGAAAATGATTTCTTTTAGGGGTTTCCCTTGACCGTATCTGACAACGAGGTCGATATCATCAAACGGCTCGACAAGGAAGGTCGGAGGAAACACCTCGACGCTAGTATGATCGGGGTGGTGAAAATGGTCGAGATGGCAGTTGTCCTTGCGGGCGAAGGGTCAGACTCCTTGGATCGGGTCAAGGAGCTGGAGTCGAAGAAGGCGACTCTCGTGGCCAAATCCCTCAAACTGAAGGCTGCTCTCGAACGCTCCGAGGAAATGTTTCGGGAGCATTCCAACGTGTTGTCGGGGGAGAAGGAGAGGGCCGACAGAGCCCTTGAAGAAAAAGACTGCCTCCAACTTGACAAGGAGCGGTTAGAGAGTGACAACCAACGGCTGTTGAGAGAGGTCTAAGATCTGAAGGCTATTATGCTTCCCGTGGAGGACGAGCCTGAAGGGGTGGCCGACTTACGCACGCGTGCTGACTTCATCGCTCGAATTCAACTTCTGGAGTCAGACTATGTTGACGCTTTGGCCGATGGCTTTGAGTCCGCTGTGAATCCACTGTCCGTGCTAAATTCGGGGTTGAATGCCGAAGATACTGGGGTTCTATCCCAGTTGTCGATGGTCGGGTTGTGCCTTCTCCCGACTCTCCTGGCGTCAATCTTTGTACTCTAGGCAGTGATTAATGCTTTTATTGGTGTTTGGGCCTGCGTGTCCGCTATTATTTTGGGGCCTGCGTGCCCGCTTTCATTCTTTTAGTTTATTTTGCCTTCATGCCTGGATTATAATTTTGGACAACGCCGGCCCTTGTGGTCGGTATATTATTGATCTTTGTTTATGACTATCTACTCGATGAATGCTTTGTTTATAGTAGTTATCTGATAATCATATTTGACGTATATGCCCGACCGTTTTCTTGGTTATGAATTTTTGACGAAGTTTGTTGTTCGTATGGAGATATCCATTCGACTCCAATGTCGGTTCGACGCACTTAGAAATGTGTCGAGTGCACGGAGTGGGAATCCGCGTATCAGACGTATGATCGCGATCAAGATCCTACGCTCGTGGCGTGAACTGCCCATCGCGAGCTGGGTGTTCTGCCATGTGGGGTACTTTGACAGTGGAGCTCGATCGAGGTGTCCCTGTCGGGCATGTATGTTTGGTTCGTCGAAGTTAACGACATTATGCCTTCTTTGATTGGTAGGTCGGGCCCGTACCTCGACTCGCCTACGTGGTCGAGCTTTTCCCTTCGTCGACTGAAGGTGACTATTCGACGGAAAAAGTCCCCCAGCAGGTGAGGGACTTTAGCCATAATATTGTTTTAGCTTCGCAGTATTCCAGGCTCGTGGTAACGGCTCTCCGTTTAATTGCTCGAGATAATATGCTTCGGTGCCTGTAGCTCCCTGGATGCGATAAGGTCCCTCCTAGTTTGCGGCCAATTTCCCTTCGCGAGAATCTTTCTGGTTTCTCGCCAAGACTAGGCTACCGACCTGAAATTCGCATCTTATGACTTTGTTGTTGTGGCGTAGGGCTACCTGCTATTTAAGAGTGGCCTCGCGCAGGGATGCTCCTGATCATATTTCTTCGACAAGGATGA